AAAATGGCAGAGATCCGCTGACTAGACACTAAAAAGTCTAGGAAGAGTGCGGAAAATTTAGGTTGGCACCTCTAATGAAACAAAACTAAAATGACTTCCGAAGTACACAAGCACTATAAGAATGTACACTTTGAGTACCTCAATAAACAAACAAGTAGTGCCGGTTAAGTGATGTACACAGTCACAGGATAAATGTTATAAAAGATCTATGTACACTTAAGAAACTGTCTAGACATTCCCGTTAACAGAAACTCAAGCTTTGAACAGCCAGTCAGGCAAACCTTCCATCATTTTGCTTTCAAAAACAAAAATGTGCAAAGGAGACAGAGCATACAGGTATTTGCTTAACTGCTTCAGCTTCGCAGCCTCTGCATAAACTATTCTATAAAAACTTTAAATTGTGTAAAGTTGACTTCCTCGTTCTTATTAATTCTTTTATCAGACAAAAGCATCATAGAAAATTCAAAAACTGACTTTGTTCCACTGTTCACCTATGCAGATGGGAGAAGAAGCGGGTCACTTAACAGACGAAAGACGGTTTTGGATGGGAATAAAAAGTAGATTGGAAAAACCCAGACCCATTCAAGGCAATAATTTAAAGATTACTTTGCAAATTAATTAAGAAAAGAGATAAAGCGAGATAGATAACTCACAATAGTGACAAGAATCGGTGCCGCGCTATTCTCTCTCATGGCTTCCGTTGGGGTTTTGCTCGATTGTGTTTCTCGTGCAGCTACGGACCGAGCTCGTCGTCGTAGACTGCCGACCAGGTTGCGCAGCATTGCCGACTCCGTCTAGACCGCCGTCGTCAACGTCTGCGTGTCTCGCGTCTCGGTTACGCCCATACGCTGCGCTCTCCTCGTTGCCATACTCTATCATCGATGCATAGACAACCATGCTCTCCGCGGCGCACACGCGTATGAGAGGGTCTCTGCCGCCTGCACGCAGACTGTCCGCATAGCCGACACGAGGCTGCGTAAACACTCGTAGGCGCCTGATGGTGGTCGTTCTTCGGATGAAGAATCGCTAGTTCTTCTAACAGCTTATTGCTTGAGTGACGCCCAGACGAAGAAATACTGCCTTTGGAAGTTTGTAGCAGCAAATAGGGAAGTGGAAGTTTGTCATCAGATTTACGCTTTCGCAATCTCAGGACAAAATCGCCTCACATCGTGTCTATTTAACTATCCTATGAGGTTGTAAATTGAGATTAGCCTTGAAAAGAGTAACAAAGGCTAAAAATTGCACTTAGCAGCTATATGTTTCATGTTATGTAATGATTTGTTAGAACGAAAGAGTTGTCTGCAAGGCCTTGTGATTGTAATAATTCTCTACTCATATCTTTCGGAAGAAATCCTAAAATTTTTAGGATCCTAGTTCAGCTACGAATATGTTTGTGAATGCAAATTTGCTATGGCATCGGGCATCAGCATGTTGCAGTTCGTTTTGTCTTTCAATATATACTTTGCTTCGACTGGAGCCGATCAGGTCTGAGGAGACGGGCATTGAGCGTAGTTGCGAGCGTAAAGTATTTTCAACATTAGTCAGGTTTTTTGGCGGACTTGCAATCATGAGCATGCGCGCATTAGGACAAGTCTGCCTACCCACTTTAAAAAAAGACTTAGACCTGGAGAAATATGTGGTATGAAGGGTGCTTCTACAAACGTATGCGTCCGCAAAGCCGTCTCGCTGCGGTAAATTTCGACAAAATGAGGGCACTCACGTAAATGCCACTTGAAAGCACTTTTTAAACTTTAGAGCTTGAAGACTTGAGAAAGAGCTAAATGGAATGAGGTTTGTTGATGTCATGTTGTTCTTTATCTTGGTTTCTTCCAGTCTATGTTCGTAGTATACATCGTTTATAAAGCCACAAGTATCTGACTGTTTTTTTGACTGAGCAGATCTGATGTTTTTCACATAGATGAATTTACGCAGTTCTCTAGCCGACTGGAAGTGTATTCGATAGCTCTAACATTCATAATCCAACTGATAACTATCTTCACTGACTCCAGAATTAAACTTTTACAAATAGCTGAACAATACAATGTCTTCAAGTGAATGATAAAGTAGCTTCGTAGACTCGCGGTATCCTTAGATTCTTTAACCAGTCTGTGTGTTCAAAGAACCGAAGTATTCTCTCATTTTTTCTCTCTCAATGTAACAACGCGACTACGATCATAACAAATCTCCAATGATGGCCTTTTCCTAGTACTACTTTGTTTCTATAAACGTTTTACGCTACTTGTGATTTCTAAACTTCTTCTCTGGAGATCATCTTTGATCGAGGTCAGTACATCATTAGTTGAAACGTCAAACAGATTAAAATTATCGGAATGTGTTGTGAAATCGTAATCTGATTATTAGTCTGTTGGAAAATAAGTTTCAGATCCCTGTTAGGAAAGTAGGATACTGTAATCAGTGTTTTCAAAGACTTAACTCGTATAGTTTTTTCTGCTCTGCTGACTTACTTGAAGATTAAGTAAATATTATGAAAAATAGTAATCAAGTTTTTCTAGAAGATAATATAGTCTGAATCAAAGAATTTTGAGGAGAGAAAACTATTGACATTAATTCATTTACAATAATCTCTGGATTAATATATCTCTCGCAAAGTAAACTAATAGCACTAGCCGTCAAACTGGCATTAGCTTTTCCTCAGTCGTTTAATCTCAGGTATTTATCTTCAGCTTTTCGAGTCTAGTCTAGTGCTCAGTGGGGCTAAACTACCAAGAAAAGCTTGTCGCTGAGAGCCTCTAACGGATAACCTTACACGGCTGAGTCTAACGTGATATATAGCTGACTTAATCCCGTTACGGGTAACTTAATCACCAATTAAATGCAAT